GAGCTCCTGGCTCTTCTTGCGGATGGGTTTTGCCAGCGTAGGGCAGCGGGTCAGACCCTCCCGCCAGCACGGTCACCAGTGGAAAAAAGCGGCCAGAGTTTCTGATGCTCAATTTGCTTTTCCAGCTTTTATACTTCCCCTATAGCAAGTGGCAAATCCAAGCAGCTGAAGAAGAAGGGAGATGCTGTAGGCAAGATTATCGCGGGGCTTCCCTTTCACTAAAAGTTTGCTCACAGGAAAAAAAAAAAAAAAAGAAAAAAAAAATCCACTCTTTAAGGAGGCATCGCAGCTCCCTGCTCTGCCAGCCGGCTGTGCAGGAACCTAGACTGTCAGCAGCTCAGTGAGAGACTTCCTATTCTAAAAAAAAAAAACCGACCTCATAAATACAATCATTGATAGAACGATACTAGACTTTTCAGGAGATGCTAACGCAGCAGAGGGGTGATCAGCATCCGGTTGGGGAAGGATTTCTTCCCACCTGAACACTCGTTCACACAGCCTTCTGCACTCAAAGCCACCTTATTTCACCTGCCCGGCTCGTCTTTGTGTCCCTTATTTTCCCTAACATTTTTACATCAACGTTTCCATTCTCTTGTCTCTGGAGAGTTGCGCTGCTTTAATCAATACATATACATTTTATCTCTGCCTTCGTCATAGGCTAAAGAAGCGGGTCTCGGCCGTGATCAACAGACAGTGCGATTTTGCCCTTCGTCAGCTTAACGCGTTTAAGACAACACCTGTAACGCACGGGGAAGTGGAGCGGAAGGTTAAAACCGGCTCAGGGTTAGTCGCTGCCGCGCGTCCGAGGCGTTCGGAGCTGCGGAGCACCGGAGAGCGCCCGAACAAATCCCTTTGCAGGCTCTGCAGAGCACAAGCAAGCGGAGGCTAGAAACGTTTCAGCGGAGCTCGAGCGGGCCTGGAGTTTCAAGCTCCGAGGCAACTCAAGATATGCGAGGCACACGGGGGCTCTGCGTGCGCGGGAAGCTCATGTTTACTCCCAAGTCTCGGGAAGGACCACAGCCATATTTTTTCATGACGGCAAGGACAGCCATTTATTTCCAAGATTTCTCGTCTTTCTGCAAGGAAGACGAAGATTACAGGGAATTTGTTCGTTCAAGTGGTGCACCACAGCTGTAAAAACTGACAGCGCACGGGGGACAGAGTCCAAGGGGTTTTGGATCGAGCAAGCCCAAGCTAACAGCGCTTTGGGTACATGACCACGTGCTGTTTTCTTGCTCCCGAGCTAGAGCGCAAAGTGGTAAGTCCTGCCGCGTTTCCGAGCGTGCTACTTCAAACAGGGTAAGGGGGACGAGCAACGCTTCAAACGAAATCACAACACGTAGCGGGCCATGTGCACGATTAACCCTCGGGTGAAACATGGATCAAATGTTGTTCTATCAGTCGGCAGGAGTTAGGGGTTAGTTCTGGACTCGGTTATCATGCAGAGGTCTTGGCTGGGTGAGTCCTGGTTTAGTGCTGCTCGTCACACCTCACAGGCAGGGGTACCTGGATTGGTTTAGTTATCAGGCTGGATGTAGATCTGGCGCTGGGTCAACACTTGAGAAAGCTCCCTCTGCAACTGCTTATACTTTTGGTTGTCGGGGATAGCATCAATAGATCTACAGAGAGCAGTTTAGAAACGAGGGAAGTAAACAGGGAAAAGAACAGTCAGAAGAACTCAGCAGCACAGAGTCGGTACGCTGGAAACCACCAGAAGCACACTCAGGAAGAGCAAGTGTAAAAACCTGGGTTAGAAGAAACAGGAAAAAGGCTGGAGGAAAAGGCAAAGCCAGATGCTCCGCGTGCTACAAGTTCTGGACACATCACCTCACCAACGCAGAAAATAACATGACTCGCACTGAGCAATGGGGAGACATAGGAAAGACTCAATTACAAAAGCTTAAGGCAACGTTCACAAGGCAAAAGACTGCATTACATATTTCTCTTTAACATTAATAAAGGCTTCCTGGCTAAACCCCTGCACTCCACAAATGAAAATACAGGCCTGTTATGAAAGCAGGAGTTGGGGGGGGGGGAAGAGAGAACAGCTGCTTTCTCAGATACTGTCGACAGCTTCTGCCCATGCTGTTAAGAAGGCAGCACAAATATTTAATTAGCACCATTACTCTGTCACCTGAAGGAGAGGTTATTGATTTTCTTTTCTTTTTTTTTTTTTTTGCCCTATTTCAGTACAAAGAACAGCAGCATACGTACCCGCGCCATTCGTTTGTTCTACAGTATCACAGTATGCAGGGGAGGTCTATTGGCAGTGTTTAAAATGAGATGATTTGGCATCATGGTTCTGCACTTTCCTCTAGGAGTTGGAGAACTGCCTGCTTGGGATTTCTACGTAAAATTCCTGACCAGACATGAGCAGGGGGTTGCAAAACACAGTGAGGTTTCCTTCAGAAAGGCACAGAGGGCTTATTCACTTATCTGTCTTAGTACACCGTATTTTAGCCAGAGGTGCTGAGAGAAAGAGAGTATTTAAAAACAAGTCTAAATATTGCAAACCATTAATGTCATGTCTTAACTCTGGGACCAGCTGACTGGTTTCAAGAATTCTAGAAAGAAGATTCAGAATTTAAGTGCCACTTTTAGGAATGCGGAAAAGTAAAACTCCCAATTAAAAGTAATCCTGAAGAACAAGGGTTGCTAGCTGCTATTTTCTTCCTGTTGAGGGAACAAGGGATTAAAACATTGCTTCAAATTCCTGTAGTTAAAAGGTAGAAATGAAATGTTCCCCAAACACCACGCCACAAGCAGTGTTTCCAAAACACAGTGAGGTGACGCGTTAGAGACGTGAAAAGACTTTGCGTAGGAAAGGGGAGTTGCAGCAGAAGCAAGATGACCAGGGCTAGGCTGGCGACAGCACCACGGCCGCTACGGGGAACGCAGGAGGCAAAGGGGTTCCAATAGCCAGCTGGAAAGCCCCTTACCTCAGCCCATTAACGATGTCCTTTGTTTTTCCAAAATAAATCTCATTCAGTGTACTTCTGATTTTGTTTTCCATGTCCTAGAAGAAAGCAAGAAACCAGATTCTTAGTCATCCCGATCGTTTTTAGCCCTGGTGTAGTTATACTCTGCGGCTTGCCTTATACGTTCGTCTTGACGTACAACACTCCCCCAACGCAGTTCAACCCCGCGTATCGCTGCCCCCTAAATTCTCATGGGGGACGATGTGACCCCGTCTCTCTGGTCTCGTCTAAGAGATAAAGGTTTTAGCTCCATCGCTGTTTGAGCAATTTCTCTTCCTGATCGTTGCTCTAGGCTATGCACGCTAGATACCTGTTCAGGACCACAAGAGGGCAGTTTCTGTCCAGCTATCCAATATTTCTGCATCTGACTGCAAAAAGGAAACTGCATTTCAGCTCAACCTTACTTGACAATTTGCTGGCACTGAACAGAGTCCAAGTTGCAGACCAGTTAACCAACAGGTCAACAGTTTTGTGCTTGAGGGCTGCTTTGAATTTTTGAGCTATTGATTAATTGATTAAACCTGTAGGGCAAACAGTTTTGAGAAATATCTTGCAAATAAGCATCATCATCTTCTTTCCTTAGCTCACTTTCATTCAAGCCAAGCACTTAGAAGAGGGATCAAGACAGAAACACCTGCCTGCCTTCGAGTCCCAATTTCTTTAATATACGCATTAGAATCTATTTTGTTTAAGAATTTCTTCCTCTCTTCCCGTATTGAGTAGCACAGAGTGAAACAGTGCAGAGAGCGGACCTTTTGTATCTACAAACTGTCGCAAGGCGCCCTAGGAGGAGGGCTAAGCCATCAAACGCTCAGCAACATTAGAAGACTAGACTTGGCATAATGGGAGTAAATAACTTTGTAAAGACAAAAGCATACAACAAAATTCTTAGGCGTGGGACCAAACGCGGGCAGGAGAGCCTGCGGCAGGCTCAAGCCGCGACGGCTCGACTACGCTTACCTCTACCAAGCGTCCAATATTGGCTATGTGTGGAGAGGAGTCGCTCACGGTCTCATCTTTCTCCATCTAGAACAAAAGGACACAGAGCCTTTGGTAACGTGAAAAGCAGATGGCAGATACGTAACAATTTTACATGTAACGAGAAGGGATGGAAGAACCTGGATGTCAACGTCCTAAAGTAACTATTCTTTCAACGTGCACACGGACTAATAACACGATGAGAAATTCCAGACCTAGGCGAGTGACTCGCATCTTCGTAACAGGAGCGTAACGTAACGAAAGCCATGAATCAAAATAAAGCCCGGTTGGCACAAGCAAGCTCCTTCACTCCCGCGTAACCCAAAGGTGTAGACAGGCCCTACAAAACGGTCATTCCCTACCCGCTAAGGGGCTGCAGGAGATCTACGGTAGTGCACGGGCAGCAAGACAAGCAGCACAGTAGCGCAGCATGTGGATATGAAAACAACCTTGTTGTTGTTGATGAGACGCACACAAGTACGGTGCTGTCAGTTTAACAGCTGTGAACTATCCCTGCAAAAACAGCTGTCTTTTCACCTTCATCTCGATGCTATTTCCAGCACACGTGGGGCACAGTCTCCGTTTTCCGGATCTCCTAGCCAACTACACCTTAAGCGTGATTTATCTCCCAGCACAAAGGGAAGGATCAGAGAAAGCAAAAGTCACAGCTACCTGCAAGACCGGCGATGATTTAAACGACTGCCGACGTTAGGATGACCCCCCTATGCAATTATACAGAAAGAGAAATATCACGGAATTTGCCTTTTGGTGTTTTGTTTCAGATCAACAAGCCGAACCAACTTACCGTACGCTTGCCTAACTGTTCGGGGAAAGGAAGCACTGGGGGGGGGAAGTACGGAGGGAAGAGGCGGACTGCCTTCTGTAGGAGCAGCTCCGAGTTGGATCACGTTAAGCGTGTAACAACACTCTTCGAACTGCCTGAACAGGAGACAGGTACTAAACCAGCTGAGATTTAGAAACTCTCTCCTGACCGAGATCAAACCTGGTTGCTGGCAGAGCAAAAGGCTGCGCGCTCTTTATTTGATCCGCCTTTGCCTAACGTGATGTTCGTCCAGAGGCTGTGACTGGCCGTACGTGACCTGCGAGCTTCCGGCGCTCGAAAAAAGACCATCTCCCCCAGTTCTCGAGATGAAAATTCTTCTGACTAAATACGGCCAAGCTGTTGAACAATGAACATCAGTCCCAGGAAACTCGACTGATACAAGATGTGCTGAGATGGCATGAAAACACCACTGGGAGGAAAAATGTAGTGGGAAGAACGGTCTTCAAAGGGTTTTTACTAATCCCACTGAGTTCTCTTATCCATCTGCTCATATCCCTCCCTCAGGGTAGGGTTTACAAATCTGGGCCGGCTACAGGTTTCTTCTAATAAGCCAAGTATCTAACAGGCTTGGGGAAGCATGTAATTTAGTTGGAACCCCGAAGGCAAAAGATAACCCAGAAGTGGGGGAGAAAAAGAACAAGAACGTCTAAGTTTTCCTTTAGATTACAGTCAGATTGTTTACACACAGCGGAGACATGCTGCCTGGAGAATGGATCCAATCACAGCAGAGGGAGAATATAAATCCGAACTATGCACACACACATATACATGTTACGGTGAGTTTGGGAACTATCAGCAAATTGAGCAAATCTGGGGCAGCGGGGGAGCTGGCAGCGGGTAATTTACTTCCACGGGCTCCCCGCTGCGTCTACTCCACACCTGGGCGCGCCAAGCGCGTTGGTAAGAAACGGAATCCGAAAATAGAATGATTTTTGCAAAATGTATATTATTACACCTCCATAAAATCTGCTGCCAGAAGGAAAACATTTGTATATGCTACAGAAGGCCAGATGTTACGAGAGGCTGTTTTAATGGAGTTCAGAGTCAGTAAGCAGCCATGTTACACAAACAGCAGGGTTGTCGGGATTTTTTAAGGTTCCTTCCGTGGGCTGTCACTGCCCGGGTCTAAGCAGAAAGCCTTTAGCTGCTCCAAGAAAGGGGTTAACTGGCTTTGAGGGGAAATTCCATTCTGTAAGTTGATGTTAACAAGCAGCTCATCTTCCCGCTGTCACTCCCCATCTGCCGTCGAGCTCAGCCAAAAAACCTAACGCTCCGGGATGAGCCAAGTCCAATCTACACAGCCCAGTCGCTCTCCTCCCGCCCGGGAGATACGCCGCTTGGCGTATCCTTGCCTCGTTTCCCCAGCCATCTGCTGCAAGTCTGACCCAGAGGGAAATTCGCTCTTGTGGGTATACTAAGCTCTCCATGGCTGGCTGGTCACTTTGGACGTTTCCTGCATGGAATACAGCAGCTGTTTGGGCTTTCTGTAAACGTTATTTGGAGGAAGAGTTAAGAGGAAAAGAGAAATGCAAGTTGGATAAACACTGCAGATCATCGTGAAAGTATCTAAAAACACTAGAAAGATAAGAAGGAAGCTCATCCGCCATGTCACTCCAAAGAACTGACAACAACACCCACAGCTGCTCTGGACACGGAGCAACGTGAAAATCTCTTTAACGAAACGCAAACAGACCAACGCGAGCCAAAGGCTCCCAAGCCACAGCCAGTGGGCAGACTGAAGTCTCCAGGTGGAAAATATGTGGAATTATTTGGATATCAATGAGGCAAAATTTGGCCGCCTTCTCCGATACTCGTTTCAAACTCTAACCATACAAGTGAAGGTTGTGAGCTCTACATAACTCGCAGCTTTGCACAAATCCACCGAGAACTTACCTCATCCTGCCATGGCCTTTGAGCATATTTATTTCTATCAGCGTAACCAAGGTACCCCTCATCCTTTACCAAACTGTACATTCAAAACCACGAGTATATTTGGCAACTGTATATTAGTTCTCCATGCTACTAGTCCATACTTGCTCATCTCGTCTACTCCCTCTCTTTTATTCTAAACCAACAATAACTGAGCCACTGTAAAAATCCATGTGTTCAAGTAAAGCAAATATAATTTCCTGGACAGCTAGCGTTCAGTACATCTCTGCCGTCCTCCGCACCTCAAAATACTACTTGTTTAGCAAGTCCTGCTGAGGGGGAGCTTAAGGACTGCGACTTGAAAATCTCTCTGGTGGAAATACACTCCCCATCTTCTCACTTGGTGCTACAACATCTGGAAGTCGGTGGGACAGGCCTTTACATGAAAGCTCAGCTTGATGAAAATATATGACTTGTCTAATTGCAGAGCACAAGCCTCGGAGGATTTACCTATTATGATAAACGGCAGAATGTCTCCGCTGGTGTTTTATTGAGCTACCATATATCACAGCGCACATCTTCCCGAACGCAGGGAAAGCTCAGTTTGCAACAGGCCAGCCTTCATCCAGCTCTGCAAAACGTCCCACCTTCGCCAGAGAGTATTTCAAACGTGAAAACCAACATACCTCTGTAGCGCTTTCATCTCAAATCTCAGGCTACACTTCCCCTACAAAATTCATACCCTCCCCTTCCCATACTGACAGACGTAAATAAACTCTAGCCTTTGAGCCAACTTCTTTCTCAGCAAACCAGCACTTCTTCACAATGTTTGTCCTGGCTTCAGAAAAACACACAGGTTTTTTTGTGCACAGCATCTCATAAAGGCACCTGTTCGTCTTGCCTCTAAGAAGGGAGCTCCAAACTCTCTCCAAAGTGCCGTTTTGACCATTTGCCAGAAACTACAAGGCTACTTCTGCTTTGCATAAAATGAAACAGGACCGTACAGCTGCTCTTATCTCAAATAAAAGCGCAGCCTAATGAAACCACAAAATTCAGCCAAAGCAGTACAGTGCCACGGCAAGCAACAAGTGATTCCAACGTACACACAAAGAGGACAGGACCTTAATGTCCGTCCGTCCGGGAGGGAGGGACAACCATCTGCCAAGCATCTGGCTTGAATCAGGAAGGGGGTGGGAGTTACCTGCAGTCATTGGAGAATGTGCAAGGTAATGGAAAAGCTGCTGGTAGTTTCCATTTCCCTCTAAGCGTTGCTCCCTTTGTTATTTAATTGAAGGTAGAACGTCCTGTCCTTTCCTCTCGGACGGACAACACTTCAATCTGCTGTCCCTCATCAAGGCAGACAGCATATAACACATGGATCACTCTTCCCCTATCCAAATTCCAGCCTCATTCCTTGTATTTACTGAAGCCTGCCAGTGTCGGATGTGAGCTGGGAGTTACTTCCTCCAGCCTGGCCTGGGGTGCTTCAACTCTGAGCTCTCTTGAACTGCGTCCAGCCTTGTCTCCAGAACACAAAGTGCCTGGGAGAGCACCCTTGTTCAGGCAACTGTAAAAATAAAGTTCCCTATCTGACATTTTGTGCCTTTTGGGGAAGGAAATGCAACAAAAATCAGTTTTCTCCTTCCAGTCCAACCCAAATGTTCTCCTATAATGTCATTTATATTCAAAACCAAGATGACTGCATTCACTGCGTCAGTATGTATTCAAAAAAAAAAACAACATAAATTGCTAAAGATTAGAACAAAATGTTCACCAGGCAAATAGGAAATTATTCTCTCACATACTTGATCGTTTCAACAAGTAGCTAATGAAGAGTCCAATGTGAAGATGTCACTTAAGCTTCAACTCTCTCCAAGCTGTCAAACTAAAATTATGATCGATGGATGCTACGCGCGTGGATCTGACTAAGAATTTATCTCATTAGATATATACGTGCGTTTGTGTGGGTATACATGCGTATGTATATATCACACACACACACAATTACATATGCGTAAAAGTTATGTATATAAACTTATAACATCGGATATGTTTTGTGTATGTATATGCACACACACACACTTCTATACTGAATCAGGAAAGAACTTGAAACCCGACATTTTAAGCAAAGCCAAAATTCACAACTCAGTGGAGAACAGATCACAGGACATTTTCTTTCAATTAAAGCTCCAACTCTTAAAAAAAATTGCCTCAGTGAATTGATAAAGCAAAAGTCTGACGTAGTTCTTTTGAAAGTCACCAGGCCTAATAATTTAAAGCTAACCGAAGGGGATTTCCAGGTTCACCAAACAGGCAAAGTCCTTGCTCTCTCGTGTCTCTCCTTATTCTGTCCACCTACAAACAGTAAGTGCTTGTACAGTTACTTTCCAGTTTTAAACAAGGACAAAAGAGACAACATATGCCAGCTCCTACTCTAGCACGTGAAGAACTGCACTGGGAAAGCCAAAGAGAAGAAGCAGTTTAGCGGACAGGAAGAGATGCGTCAATTCTCGCTGTACGACATTAAAGTAGACATAGCGGAGGGCAACGCCTTCCAAGTAACATCTCTTTGGAACGTAACATCTCTGTGGCCCCAAGCCAGCCCTAAGAAAACCCAAATAGACAGTGCCTTGGGAAGAGAGAGAAAAATAAATTACTCTGAGAAATTCGGTGCGACGTTTAGGAATAGCCTAACCGGGAGCCTTCTAACAAAGAAGGGTCTGGGCATATACAAGAAACGCAAAGACAAGTTTTTTCCAAATCGTCTTGACAGGGAAGAGCTTAGGCTCTAGCTTCTCTCTCCAAGTTCAGCTGCACCACACCGTCCGGGCACAAAAGAAGAAAGAGGATTGCTTCATTACTTGCACCGAGTGTCATCTCTGCGGCCGTTAGGAAGGGGAATTACTGAGCAAGCGTTTCCATGCGAAGTTGCAAACGTTCCCCATAGCACAGCACCATAACATTTCAACGCGAGATATGCCCCGCTACTCGTAGCTGCCAGCGGCGGTGAATTAGGAGGCATTACATTAGCTGTTCCTTTGCGCCCACTTCTGGCCACCAAGTTAATCATTGCAGTCATCACTCAAAAAATACCCGATTTGCAGCGAGGAGGCGAAACTGGTTTCAGAGTAATGGCTCTCGACAGACTTCCCTTTCAAAGCATTGAAAGGTTCTCTCTGCCATCAGTTTATAAGCCAGGATATTACAAAGCTTGTGAACACTTCAAAAGCTTCCACTGAAACACAAGGCCATCTGCTATTCACATTTTAGGATCAAAGGTGGTCGGGTCAGTAGCTTAAACGGGGAGTTGACCAGAACCATGTAGAATTCACCATAGACAAAAGTTATTTCAAAACGATGCTGAGGGCATTAGATTTCTGATACTGTCAAGGTAAAAGCCCAACCCCCTGCTCTCCGTAGGTGATGCAGCACACTGCGTTCACAGCATGAAAAGCCTTGCGCTCGGGAGTTCAGTCCAGCTACAGCTAAATAAATGGCTCTCGACATATGGCTCTCCTCCTCGCATAGCATACCTCAAGGCAGTACGAAGATTTGGCTTTTCTTGCAGCAGATTCTGACAAACCCTGTCCCATTGCTGATCCTCCTATGGCATCTGCAAAGCAGAAAATCTCAAGCCCAAAGCGAAATTCTGAAACTCAAGTTTCCATTGTTTGTGCAGAAGCAGTGCATCATTACCCCAGTGGCCTTTTTATGGTTACTTACATTGGAAGCACGCCCCTGCTTTAATGCATCGCATATGAATTAAATGATCTGCTGTTAAAATGATGACAGAAGCATGAATCTTCCCACTAAAGCTCAGAGAGTGAAAGTCAAACTAAACAAGGCCTAGCAGTTCAGGCCAAGGTGTACTGAGGACACCCGTTCTCAACAGACTATTGTTTTCCTTGGCATAGCTGTCATACACCATAAGGCCACGGCCAGAGTCAAACCCTTGGCCTCCACTTCACAGCTATGATTTAAAGTATTAGGAAGGCCTGTGATTAAATATTTGTCCGGGTCACCACAACTCGGGTGTAATTACTGTAAACATTTTAAAAGAGTACGCAATGCTCAAAACTGTCTCCAAAGGCTTTTTTTTTTCTTCCCCCATCAGCTTCTTCTGCAAGTCAACAACGCGGAAAGAAAAATCCCCTAGTCTAGGGCAAGCTTCTGAGCCTGCAATGCTAACACACAATTTCAATTCCTCTCTGCAGTCACAGATCCTTCTTTCCTTTGCCTGACTCAAAGCTGTACAAAAACACCAACCGTTTTAACAGAGTCTGCATTGTCCTTTGTATCGAAAGCAGTAGTCTGCCCTGGGAAGTCTCATAAAGGAGTTGTAGCTACTGTCAATCTCTCTAGTCACTCATGACCGTTCAATATGCCTGCTGTCCCCCGGAGTTCATTAGGCTGTTCAAGTCACTAATTTCCACAGTCCAGATCATCTTAGGCGACCCCAATTCACCAGCAGCATGAAATACGGAGAAAGCAACCTTTGGCAGGTAGCACCTTCAACCAGCCTGCTACTACCTGCTTTTGTCGGAGAGCGAGACAGCAGCATGGCCTGAACAGTCATAAGTCTGCCAATTGCGAAAAACGGCTGTAGCAAGAGGAAGTCAAAACAATTAGCACTGGCCCAAAAATTCAAGTGTTTAGAAGAGGTTTAATTTTTAATCAGTGTCCCGATACAGCAGCAGCAAAATACTTAGAGGGATACTAAGAGATACTTGAAGGTTTTAAGAACAAAAGAATCTTATAGTCAATACAAAATACAGGCTCGATCATAGTGGCTTAGCTGGCTTTAAAAGAGAGATTGTCTTATGTTTTTATAATCCCATGAGAATCTTCTGGTAAGGAGGTGGACAAATCTGATGGACAAAAGTATCTGTTTGGATTACACATAAAAAATATAAAAATTTAGGAATATCAAATGCAAAACTAACACTTAGAAGAGAGACTAAGCTCCTACTGAATAGTTTTATATTTTTAACTGAAAGCCATCAAGCCAAGTTCAAGGGGCTTCTTGGTTACCACACACTTACACGTTGACTGTTTCACTGGATGGCAAACGCAGCAGGGGAATAGATGCTTATACAACACCTCACAAAATAAACTTTTTGTTCCTGATTGAGGCTACTAAGTACATAAAGAGGGACAGGCGAGCCTTGGGTCTGTAGCATAAACTAGCACCAATATACAGACCTACCTGTCTGGTAAGGCTCCCTCCAAGGTTCATGGTACCAGACCCAGTTTTATTAGTCTGCAGCCACAGCATCACTGTGGAGGTCAGCTTGTAATGAGCAGTACGGCCATTGGATTTCTCCTGAAGGTGGAGGGATAAGGAAGAGATAGGCAAAAGATCACAATCCCTCCAAAAACTAAAACAACTCTTGCCCCAGAGACTCATCCCACAATCAACAAATAAGTGTAGCTCCACTCACATAGCATAGTTTGTTTTCTTAAAAAAAAAAAAATAACTGCATGTGTGTGCACATTCCCCCTAATTTCCAAAAGCAAATCTGGCGATAGCAATTTAACCTCCCATTACCTTGTTTTTATTATCTAATTAGTGATACTTATCTGTGGATCTTTATGTTCAAAAAAAAATTATCTCATGATCGCATGCCCAGAAAGTAACATACTTTCAATTCTTCTGGGATTCCTTTTGATTACAGCCCTGACTTATCTTTATCCAAATTGCTTCAGGGAATTCTCAAAAATTAACAGGGGAAAGGAGTTTACAGCCCCCAACACAATATTGCATTGTTCAGTGGAACACCTGCACTCGTTAATTGTCTGGAATTAACTGGGTTTTGTTTTCACTTAGGAATATCAGCTGCCCCAGAGGCTGTACCTGAACCTCCACCACGTGGATGGAATCCCAGCATCCCTTAATCTTCTTTGATCCGTCTCCAGCTTTCTTAATGAGGATCACACCGGCAAACCCATGATCCAGATCCCAGAGGTAGACAGAGGAGACGCCACCTTCAAAATACCTGCAGGAAGCAATCCAATAGGCAGGTTAAAAGCAAGCAGGATCCAAGCCAGGGTCAGGTAATAACGATAATCACAACCTTAAATAGGCAGAGTCTCTATATCCTAGTAAAGATGTACTTTTTTTTTTTTTTTTTTAAGATAGCAAGCTCTCAACAGCTAGATACCTAGAAACACAGCAGTTTAAAATAATTTTATAGTACATGGATTTTAATCAAAAAAAGTCTGTACATTTCTCTTAAGGAGAATAAAAGTCTAGTGAGAAACAGAGCTGGTTACAGATTTCCATAGCTCTTGAGCAAACAATTCTTCTGATTCCAATTAACTATAACAGCTGGTAAAAGAACAAGCTACAAAGTAAGCTGAAAGTAAGGCTTTATTTTATAGGTTCCCCCTCCTTCTCTTGCTATTGGGAAAGTCTGGAAGTTCTTTACAACGAAGTCCGCTAATTAAGACAAAAGGGAGCAAGTAAGTAGTTTTATGCTGCTGTCTCAGAAGTTTGTGTGAAGTTGATTTTATGATTTATTGCAAGTGGAGTTAAATTGAAACCAAGGTCCTTCGAAACAGAGGGATGCAGTCTAGGTTTACATGCAAGTCAAGCTTGGGATGTGGTATGCAACAGAGAATAGGCTAAAGCAACTAACCGTGGTTTTCTGGCAGCCAAAAGCACATTTTCAGAAAACTATCAAAACGATGACCTCTGCAGAGCTCAGCCGCGTCTTTGTGTAAGGCTCTTCCGCGCTAGATGAAACACGCACTTTAAAATAACAGTAAGCAACCCAAGACTAGGAAGGGGGATGCACGAGGCACAAATTTGGCTTCCAGAAAACTGAAACTGTAACCTACAGCATTTCACCAAGTATTTCCAACTCTCAAGTTATCAAATAGCCTTAGTGAGCGTCACGCAAGAGGAAATATTCTCTCATGGCACCCAGCTCTTAGATCTCGGTGACGAACTCAGGGGGCACAGAACTACCACCTCTCCCGAAGAGTTAAGGAAAGCAATCAGCAGAGAGGCAATTTCAAAACACAGCCTTAAGATTTTCAGTAGTCCAACACTTCTGAGCACACACCAGATGCTATCCAAGTACAGGGATAAACTAGACAAAACACCTGAGAATTTCGCGCCCGGAGGAGAGCAAAAGCATTTCCTCCAAAGACACGGGGAGCTTCTCTGCCTGACAGCTCCCATCAGCTAAGCTGGAAAAAATGTCACGCGGATTAAGCAGTTCTCTATTCCTGCCCCTTGCTGTCGTGAGCAAGAGGATCATGCAGCCCTGCAAGTGACTGCACGTTTCTCCTCTTGGGCAAGAAAGGAAAGCATCACTCACCGCAGACACGGGAAACTTGTTGAACCCTCCCACCTTCATTCTCCCCTCCTTTTTAAACACGAGCTTGACATTTGTTAACGGCACTCAAGATTTGATTTACTGTGCCATTTTGGACTTTAGGTATTAGCTTGAAGCGCTGGAGATTCAAAAATACTCCGAGTCCCTTTTAACTCATCCTTTCCTGCAAGTCGGGAGAAAAGAGAGCAGGCAGTTATTGCAAAGACTTGGCGTTTAAGCCGCAAACAAACAGCACTGACCTATGACGTTTGTTTAGCCACTGATAATATAATGGTAAAAAGGGAAAGCCCTTTACTCTGCAGCAACTTAAACCTAACCAACCAACAGGCACTTTCGTTTTCTTAAACATCTCCTTGAGAACTCACAAATGGATTTTAGCTACGGCAGTTAATGGGAAATTCAGTTCCTAAATTCAGTTCCTCAGCAAACCTAAGTTGCAACCTGACTGCTGCTTCCTCGGACAACACAGCGGTGTGAACGAAGGGCTAGAGAGCAAAACCCATTATCGATTTCCAGAGCAAGTTGGCTAAAAAAAAGATGTAAATCACATAAATGAATTCACTCAAAATGAACTGGCAGCCACTGAGAATATTACAGTGCGTACAGACAGTTTCCCCATTACCCATTTTATGAGCTTGCTATGAGCATGAAACATTAATTAAGAGAGGGACCGAAACAAGGGTTTTGGAAATTTATTCTTACCTACTGTACTTTGATCCTAATGACATGAAACAGGAAAAAAATAATTTTTTATGTGCTTCACCTTTATGAGATTTTACATAAAGGCTTTTGTGGGTATTTTAAGAATGTGCTAAAATGTTGTCTGAAACCACATAAAACCATCTGAAGAACCTCCCGCCAGAACTAACAGTGCACACATGGAAATGCTTTAACTTGCCTTTGTATATTTAATGAATCAAATATAGCATTAATATTGTTTTAAATACTAACATGCTATTTCAATAAAGTCGCTTTGACATAGCCAGATCCAGTATCTTGAGACTTAAACAACAACGCCAGTGATTGAGCAGTTATGTATCTAAGGCACGCTGGGATAAATATTAGCCAACGTCTGCTGCTGCGTGCTTCACCCAATATTTAGCCATTCCAAAAAAAAAAAGAAAGAAAGAAAGAAAGAAAGAAAGAAAGGAGGAAAATCATTCTTTTTTCACGAGGAGAAAATATACATCATTGCTTACAACATTATATTTCACCTTTCTGCACGCAGCAACTAAAAGTTACTAACGTGAGAGATTTCTGAAGACTATTTCAGCCCAGGAAAGCAGCGTTTGGGGAAGGGAACATTCCTCGAACCCTGTTTTCTTCAAGAAAAATAAAGCAGTGCTACAGGTTAATTGGCTGCTCCCTAATAGAAAACTGGATGACAGACAGATTGGTAGGAATGTAAATCTACATTCATAAACTCGGATTTTTTGCAAGACTGGACCATCTCCAAGAAACCCCCATTGCCGGATGAAAAAACTGCAGTTAATAAAAGCCAAGCAGGAGGAGTAACCAGCTTGGAAAACGCTCCTGCACGGCACAAACGGACATCTTCCCCGTTAAAGGGCCGTACGGGCAGAGCAGAGGGCAGGCCCGGGAGGACGACGCGCAGCTGCTGCAGCGAAACGCTTTGAAAGCGGTACGGGGCTCCTGGTTCGAACGGAGTCTTCTTCGGACGCCCCTGTTCCAGGCGCGTTATCCTTCCGGACTTCCCGCACAGCAGCGTTTCTAAACGGCACGCGGCGGAGGCAATCGTCTTGAAAAGCGTTCGTGTCCTCCCCTAAAGCATCCGAGGGCCAACAAAAACAAGCCAGACGCCCAAGAGAGCCGATGCGGCAGGAAAACGCCATGTCGTATCGGGGGACCTCAGAAACGTCCCCAAAAGCTAAACCCTTGTCTAAGGGCGGTATTCAAGGGAAAGGAACCGCACGCAGCTCTCTCCAGCACGTACTCTGGGTTTACACCTCCGAGGGAAAAGTCCGTTCGAGAAAAACGAAAAGCATAGCCTTGCGGTTGTCCAGCCAGTCACGTCACTTTATTAATAACCAAAAGGTCACGCTGCCAAACGGCATCGGTACCTGCTAGGGAGCTCCGAGGACAGGCAGGGCTCTTCCAACTCTGAAAAAACTGCGTTTTACAGAAGGCGCCCAGGAAGCTGACTGAAAGGCAGAAGGCCCAGTACAACCATTCTCTCTTTGTACAAAATTAAGATTAGCATTTCACCAAAAATCATTTCTAGTTTAAGTCACAATCAAAAGCTCAAGCTTTATATCCGTTACTCATCAACCACAGAATTCCTGGAAAAAACCTTATATATATATATATATATATCTATATATGTATATATAAAAGGCACACTTTGGACTGACCTACTTTATGAATGTGAGAATAAACGAAAATATTTAAGCTAAGAGCGATCCAAAGCTTTATGAAGTGTTTGAAGTTTAGGCGGGTGGAGACACAGGATGGAAACTTGTTTAACCAACCATGAAATAGAGAGAGCGCGGCCAGACAAAGCCGTAACTTCACGAGGGACGTGATGGGGGAAGAAATCCCTCCAGCTTCCAGCATGCACCTCCAAAAAAAGGAGGAGAGACGAATCGCTTTGTTTTGCCATTAAGGAAGAGATCAGAAAAGACACTGTAACCCTCCCAATAGCCTTCTACGCTGCCCACAAGCCTTGTAATGAATGCTGGACTATATACCGAGAAAATGAGTTTCCACCACAGAGCAATAAAAACAAGCTACAACTCTCAGTTACACTTTAGAAACAAATCACTCATCCATAAAAACACTTGTGTATTTTCCAGTAAGTAACCAGGAGCCAAAGACAGTGGGTGGGTTTTTTTTTTTTTATCTGGCTTGTGACTCTTGCATCACTAAACCTGATGCCAAGTACCAATATCTGGAAGCTCAGACTGGCTGTGCACGGCTTCCAAAGGGTTGCACAGGGTTTCAGACTGGCTCTTGTGAAGCAGTTCGTTCTCCTCAACTGCTGAAGTTTAGCATGGAAGGGGAAGTGTCTCCATTTATCTAGACTTTTCAAGACACTTGTCTTCAAAAAAAAAAAAAAAAAATCTACCCCAAAGAAAAATTTGCAGCATTCACCTACAAATGTTTTTACTAAAATGGCAACGACTCAAGTCACAGTCAGAGAGGCTAGTGTCTAACAGCAACCCAAGCCCACAAGAACATTACCCAAAAGATTAGATGAGACAGCAGACCCTTCCCTTCCTCTTAAAGCAGATGACTGTGTGTCACGGCAATGACTTGGTATAATTTTCACTGTGCGCTCCCCCCTACGCCTGCACCCCGACGTTTCAAACCAACACACAAATAGCTACAGAAATATGAAGAAAGAGGGAAGTTTGAGCAACCCATCTTCCACCAAACCCCAAACTCTAAGGGTTTTATTCACATCACCTGCAAACTAGTAGCTCAAGCAAGAGGAAAAGCATCTTTAGGACAACATCGAGAAATCAGAGTTGTCTCTAATTTCATCACCACTCCGTCTTCAGTCCAGCTTTCTAGTAATGAGGCTAAACAGTTCTGTAATAAAAGGACAGGTTGGTACCAGGAAGTAACACTTCTTCTGGCTTGAGTGCAGATGACTTAAAATTCCTCTTTCCCCCCTTCCTTGCTCCCAGGAG